AGATTTTCTATAGGATTGAGGTCTGGAGACTGGCTAGGCCACTCCATGACCTTAATGTGCTTCTTCCTGAGCCACTTCTTTGTTGCCTTGGCGGTATGTTTTGGGTCATTGTCATGCTGGAAGACACATCCATGACCCATCTTCAGTGTTCTGGCTGAGGGAAGGAGGTTCTTACAGTACATCTTACAGATTTTACAGTATATGTCCCCGTCCATTTGCCCCTCAATGTGGTGAAGTCGTCCTGTACCCTTAGCAGAAAAACAGCCCCAAAGCATAATGTTTCCACCTCCATGCATGTCTGCTAAATGACTTGATGTAAATGTAAGACAATGTTTGCATCCGTTAATATTAATTGCTGGAGAAAACTGGTTAATTTTGAGCTTTTTGTTTGCATCCGTTAATATTAATTGTTGGAGAAAACTGGTTAATTTTGAGCTTTTTGCGCTATTTTAATCTTTCGGGTTTAAAATCTACATCATGTTGACGGCACAGTTTGTGACATGGCAAATGACTATAGTATTTCGATGATGCATCTGTGTCTCATAATTATTCATGCGTGTTCTTATCCTATAAGAAGACACTTCACTTAATTATTCACAACAGCATGTGTTGATTTGGTATGACAGACACTTCAGACTGTCAGATTGCGTTACATTAACTGAGAGAAACGTTCATGGATCATGGAGGATGTTTGTTTTTGTTTTGTAAGAGTTCGGAAACCCGCGATTCATTCAGTGAGTGTAACCGGATTTTACAGCTCCTTCACACAACCCATCAAAAGGATTATAAACACAGCAAAATAAGCCTTTAAAGTTATTAGAGGTGCAACAGTGCATTCATATATATGTTTTCGATGCAGAGTGCAAATGGCTGTGCATTAATTTGTGTTTTTAACTCTATGTGAGCGAAATTAAACTGTCTGAACCCAAAGCTTTGTGTGTTGTCGCTCTTTCCTCCTCCCCCTCCGCTCCGCTCCGCAGTTGTCAGGATTCTGGACTAGGGCTGGGTATCGTTCAAAATTTTTCGATATCGATACCGATACTGGACTGTTCTGTGTCGTGCTTTGCCCCTGTTTCTGGTCCTGTGTTTCCTTATTTGATCCTTCCTGTTTCCATTAGGTTCCCTGATTAGTTCATAATTTGTTTCCAGCTGTGTTTAGTTAATTATCCTCATTTCCCTGTATACTTAAATACTAGTCTGTTCAGTTTGTGTTTGTCAGGTCAACTCGTTCTCTACGTGTGTTGGCTCAAGCTCCTATTGTGGATTATCTCCTGTGTTTCGTGATTAAAGACTGTTAAACGTTTCCTCGTGACTCCAGCGTGTTCCCTGAACAGCGTAGCGTGACAGAAGACCTGAGCAAAACAGTAACCTCCTTGTGTTTTCCCCTCCGTTTGTTTTCTCATTTTTCCCAGTATCTTTTTTTTCCGTTGTGTTCCCTGGATGGATGCCCTTCTTCACCCCGAATACCTCCTCCTCCTGCTGGAGCAGGGGGACAAAGCTCTCGAGGTCCATACTAGACTGTTCCAGCTGCTAGCAAGCACCACCAGCAACCCGGACGACGCGCTCTGTGTGTTCTACAACGCCAGTCTAAACATCGAGTGCAGAGCGCTGTCGTCCGAAGATTGTCCTCGAGAGGATTTCGGTGCGTTTGTGGAGTGGATTCTGGCGAGAAACGGGTCACCTCTCACCGTCACTCCCGAGGATGATCTCGCCAGATCCACTTCAGACCCAGAGACCAGCCCACCATCTACCCGCTGTGCGGAGCTAAAGCCCGAGACCACTGATGACGGAGAGCCAATTCCCGCCGCGATCAGCAAGCCAGCGCAATGCCGAGCGACTGAGCAGAGGATCGCCCCGGTGGTAGAGCTAAACTCGGCAGACCAGGTGCGAGAGCCGGCGACAATGCCCGCCACGAGGGAGAAAGCCGCGGACGGTGTGAGCGCGGAGAGGAGCTCCGCCCCCTGCACCGCGGCTGAGGGTAAGCTGAGTATGGTGCGGCGAAAGTGCCAAACCGAAGAGGAGAGGGCTCCAGTCCCCGGTCCTAGTCTGTTCCGTTTGTGTTTGTCAGGTCTACGTGTGTTGGCTCAAGCTCCTATTGTGGATTATCTCCTGTGTTTCATGATTAAAGACTGTTAAACATTTCCTCGTGACTCCAGCATGTTCCCTGAACAGCGTAGCGGGACAGCAGTGCACCACGCCCACTTTTGAAGCATTTTTTTTAAAACTGTGGTGACAACTAACTGGTGCTGAAACAGGGGGCTTCATGACCCTTTAGGACCTTTCACACTTGAAATAGTTAACCCTGGGTCATTCTAAACCCAGGTAAATGGATCCTGGGTTATCATGTTATGTTTTACACTGCTCATACTTAACCTGGGGTTAACAATTAATTTTGGTTATTTTATAATCATACATGTCACACTGTACATTGCTTAACATTGGGTTACTTATTTTATTTGCGGTGTCAACAGTCATGATTGGATAAACAAAAAACATTTGGTTTTCGACCAAAATGGGTAAAATTCAACAATTTGGATATGGAGTGACATTGAAATCCTCATATCTCTGGGACTGAACTATATAGGGCCTTAAAAATGAAGATTCCAAAATAAAAGTTTGGGTCACACTTAATTTTAAGGTTACATTTTTATTATTAATGTCACTATTTGTTCTATCCAAATTAATTATGTCATCTCGCTTAACTTCTGGCTCTTCCATAACTTTAGAAATAATATAGTCTGACCTGGTAGCTTTGCTACCCACAGTACTGAATTTCCATTTCAATTTCATACAGATCAAACACTGCCTTGTTGCAGCTTAGCCAGGGAAGACGCCTCTGGGAGTCATCCTCGTTTTCACTTATTGGCCTGGAGTCACTAGCCCAGTGGTCTGTGACATTCCATCTTGTGGTCAAGTGAGAAGCAATTCCGGCACTGACTTTTATGGAGATAACAGCTCTGTGTTATTCCATCCTGCCAATTACACCAAAATGTTAGATCATGCCTCCGAGCCGAAAATATCAGTTCAGAAATATCCATCCCTGGACACCAGATCCTGTCAGAAAATATCCATTCTATCTGGTAACAGTGCAGCTAGTCAGCAAAGTTGTCTAATACCCTAAATCCATTAACATCAAGTCTTGTCTGGTAGCCAGAACCAGTGTTTTGTCTGGTACCCAAAACTGTATTAACAGTCATCTATCAACCAAGAAGTTGACTGAGTAAAGCTAGAGAAGACCAGAAGCAGGAGACGAAGTGAAGATGATAAAAAAAGGAGCAGAGTTTATGCAAGTTGTGTCTTGGTTGAGTATGTCTCAATGCTTAGACTTTGTCTGACCAGCACAAATCCATCAAGTGTTATTATACCACAAGCAATAGTAATGGAAAATTACTGCTTCACAACATCATCCTGTGATGTAAAAAACCTTGAAATGGAGACATTCCCTCATCTCTTATTTGTGAAGACAAATATCCCTTGAAACCATGCAATCATAGGATTAAACAATAATGGAAAATAATATAAAATAAAGTAATATAGTATAAATGGATAACCAATGAATGAATCAATTAAAGGAGTATATAAATGGTTTAAGTGATGGTTTAAGTGGTTTAAGTATTATAAATGATTAAATGGAATAATAAAATGATTGAGTGAGTGAGTGAGTGAATGAATGAATGAAAATAAAATGAATGAAATAAAGTAAAGAAGTAAAGTAATAGAAAGAAGCAACACACACACACACACACACACACACACACACACAGGTTGCTAATAAGAATGCTTAGATCCTTCACTAACTACAACTTTTCCTTCAATAAACTTCCAATTTGCTGCTTATTAATAGTTAGTAAGGCAGTTATTAAGTCAAGGTATGGGGAAGAATTAAATTTAAGTTGCATTGGGATGCCAATATCATTTGTTTTAAAATTAAACCATACAGGCCTTTAAAAATGAAGATTACAAAAATTGAATTTAAAAAAGGCTGCATGCAAAGTGATCCACAATAGTTTTTTTTTTTACCACTGAAAATGTATGCAATTTAATAATTTAGTCATGAAGCCACTTTGAAATCCTTCTTGAAGTGGACCATATAGAGCTCTTAAAAATGAGATACCAAAAGAAAAGTTAGTTAAAAATGAAAATCTAAAAGAATATTTAGATATCTTTTATACCTCTTGATTTACAGGGGTTCAAACTTTGTGAGGAAAAAACAACAACAACAAAACAAAAAAACAAAAAAAACTGGAAGCGCTTTCCCATTTTGAACTGTTGGTATTTGCAACAAAGATGGCTGAAGTCTATGGATTTTTCTAACAGACCTACCAATTTCTATGTAAAAATAAAATAATCATCCTGCCATCTTTCTAAAGTCATATTACCCCCCCTGTAAGTTACCTCCAGATCTAAGTTGAAAATTCATATTCATAAAATTCAGGTCATTTTGACCCTCCCCTACAAAACAGTGGATTAATGTGCCATCGCAAGGAGGTTTGGTGTGTCTCTCAGTACAGTTTCAAGAGTGTAGAGGATAGGGCTGCACGATTAATCAAAATTAAATCGCAAATGCGATAAATCGCGATTAGGCAGAAGCTGCGATTGTCATGCGTATCTTTTAGTGAAGCACGGTTCTGTGACCAGTAGTAAATCTCCATCCGAAGGCCAGAGGGTGCTCTCTCGCGGAAAATCCAAATATGCCACACAGAAGAAATCCAGGAAATGCTTATCACTGCAGCTGAATAAATAGAAGATTTAAAGGGTTAGTTCACCCAAAAATGAAAATTAGCCTATGAATTACTCACCCTCAAGGCATCCTAGGTGTATATGACTTTCTTCTTTCAGACGAATCCAGTCAGTTATATTAAAAAATGGTCTTTGATCTTCCAAGCTTTTTAATGGCAGTCAGTGGGTGTTGCAGTGCATCAGTCCAAAATAAGTTAAATAAAGCGCATCCATCCATAATAAACAGTGCCTCACATGGCTCCGGGGGGTGAACAAAGGCCTCCTGTAGCGAATTGATGTGTTTTTGTAAGAAAAATAACCATATTTAAAGGGGTCATATGATGCGATTTCAATTTTTCCTTCCTCTTTGGAGTGGGATGGCTTGAGGGTGAGTAAATAATGGGCTAATTTAATAAATAAACACAGGACTAATAAACACAGGACTCCGACAATATATGGTTTATCTGAGTTTGTCTTATTATAATTTATATTATAATAAAGTATATAATAATGCAATGCTAATCAACACAGCCTTTATAACGGCTTAAAATACTATGAAATATTGCGTGCCTTAATTATTCTGTTTAAGAAGCCACATCATCTCAAAGAACGATTTATTTCAAACACTCGACTGACATGAAGTGAGTTTGGAGTAAAAACATGTTATTAAATGTCGTATTTTCACGTGCCTTCAGATGGAGCAGCATTTACTACACAGAGCCGTAGTTCACTGACAAGCTACGCAAACAGCTTTCATAATCGCAGAACGTTATCTTCGATTTCATTATCGCGCGATTATATCGTCTGCGATTATGAACGCGATTTTGTGTAGCTTGTGTACTACACATAGCCGTAGTTCACTGACAAGCTACGCAAACAGCTTTCATAATCGCAGAACGTTATCTTCGATTTCATTATCGCGCGATTATATCGTCTGCGATTATGAACGCGATTTTGTGTAGCTTGTCAGTGAACTACGGCTCTGTGTAGTAAATGCTGCTCCATCTGAAAGCACGTGCTGGAGATTTACTACTAATCACAGAACCGGCTTTACTGACAAGATGCGCATGACTATCGCATTCGATTAATCGTGGAGACCTAGTAGAGGAGTTACCAGGTGATGGGCCATTATTCAAGGAGAGCTGGTCAGAGTTGTAGAAGGGCAACATCCCAGCAGAAGTACTGGTATATCTGTTCTTCTGTGCGAGGAGGAAAAGGAGGAGCACTGCCAGAGACCTAAAAAATAACCTCCACCAGACTACTACTGTAGTGTGCATGTTTCTGACAAACTGTCATTGCTCATTCTGACAATGCTCATTCTCAGGTTCACTTTGAGCATGTGACAGACGTGAAAGAGTGTGTAGATGCCGTGGAGAATATTAAGCTGCCTGCAACATCATCCATCATGACCAGTTTGGCGGTGAGTCACTGATGGTCTGGAGAGGAATATACTTGGAGAGTCACACAGACCTCCACGTGCTACCCTTACTGCTTTTAGGTACCGGGATAAAATCCTCAGAGCTATTGTTAGACTTTAGGCTGGTGCAGTGGGCCCTGGGTGATAATGCTCATTCTCGTGGCTGGAGTGTGTAGGCAATTTCTGGGAGTGCATACAGGCACATGGGGGCCATACACACTACTGACTGACATTATGAGTTACTGTGGTGAAATTCATGCAAGTTGGATCATGAACTTGCATGATGGCATTCATTCAAAATATTAAAAGAGTGCACATCCAGTAAAATAATGCAGCTTAAATCTATTGGAGAAATCTGATATTATGAGGACTAGCAAGTACTCGATCAGCTGATTCAGATGTTTAATTAGGGTTGGATTTTAGGAATTTATACAATACCAAGGCTCGAAATTGCGACCATTTTCATCACATATGCTCCCGGCAACGTCGGTCCTGGAGTGCCGATGTCCTGCAGAGTTTAGCTCCAACCCTGAAAAAAAACCTCACTTGTCTGTTGCCTCAGTAATCCTGAAGTCCTTGATTAGCTTGTTCAGGTGTGTTTGATTAGGGTTAGAGCTAAACTCTGCAGGACAGCGGCACTCCGACGTTGCCTATCCCTGATATAGTTAATCAATATCACAAGAAGAGTGCTGTTTCCTCCAAAAATCAGCCTGATTACAAATGTGATATTGATTTTATACAACTGTTCAATAAAAAAAGAAGTTAATATTAAGAGACTTACGTTTTAGACAATATATTAACTATTTTTGCTCCATTTCGCCAGCAAAAATAATTCCAAGCACAGTCACAGCGCTGTTTTGCGTCTCTGAGCAACATGACGGCGTTTCGTTCCTGAATGAATCATTCGTCAAATGATTCGGTTCAATCGCAATGACTCACTTATTAACAGTGACTTGCTGACACCTGCTGGCGGTTTTAATTTCACATTTAAAGTTTCAAATATTTCAAATATCAGTATTCAACGTTTTATGTTTACAATATTAAAATATTATTTATGCATGTGTAACTGCAGGCTAAATGCATTCATGTCCTGCATTAATCAGTGTGTAAATGCATCTAAATGCCATTTCAGATGCATCTTCTGTGTTTCCTCTGCATTGCAAAGATGAATTTTGTTGATTGATACTTTCATTTGCTTGATAACAGCCCAAATGTCTTATCATAATTGACTGATTAAATATAAGAATTTGACTCAAATGATAATGCACACTTTTAGAAAAAATGGCTTTAAGGTAAAAATGACCATAAAAGGTAAAAATCTATTTAAACTTATTGGAAAAGATTCATTTCTGTCACTGCTGTGAACTGACCACCACACAGAATATGAATATTAAAAATTTTAGGAGTCAGCTGTCCACTGTAGTCCTTAAGATATCAGCACAGTAACACTCAGTCAAATTATTGTTATCGATAAAATCCCAGAAAATATAGAGATATAATTTTTAATGCGATATTGATTTTATACAACTGTTCAATAAAAAAGAAGTTAATATTAAGAGACTTATGTTTTAGACACTATATTGCCTGTTTTTGCTCTATTTCGCCAACAAAAATAATTCCAAGCACATTCACAGCGCTGTTTTGCGTCTCTGAGAAACATGAGGGTGTTTCCTTCCTGAATGAATTTTTCGTTAAATGATTCGGTTCAATCGCAATGACTCACTTATTAACAGTGACTTGCTGCCACCTGCTGGCAGTTTTAATTTCACATTTAAAGTTTCAAATATTTCAAATATCAGTATTCAACGTTTTATGTTTACAATATTAAAATATTATTTATGCATGTGTAACTGCAGGCTAAATGCATTCATGTCCTGCATTAATCAATGCCATTTCAGATGCAGCTTCTGTGTTTCCTCTGCATTGCAAAGATGAATTTTGTTGATTGATACTTTCATTTGCTTGATAACAGCCCAAATGTCTTATTATAATTGACTGATTAAGTATAAGAATTTGACCCAAATGATAATGCACCGAAAAAATGGCTTTAAGGTAAAAATGACCATAAAAGGTAAAAATCTATTTAAACTTATTGGAAAAGATTAATTT